AGACAGAAAATTATCAATTCACCCCATGCAGACTCCCACTTTCACCTACAGGTTCCCACCACCTCTACAGTCACAGCACATTCCACGAGTCTGCTGCTACAGCAGGAAACTCTTGAGTCTCCGAGCGGCAGCCTTGCAGAACACAACCCCATTCACCTCCAGCCATGGTGTTTGCTCAAACATCATTTATTTTAAGTCTGCTCTCGCTTCATTCTGCCTCAGGCCTAGATCAGGTCAAGCAGACCAACCCCAACCAGAAGCAAGAGCTCTCTAAAACCTTGATTAGCGAAGCAGAGGCTTCTGTACGACTGAGAAAGCCTCTCTAATGAGAGCTTTCCTTCCAGCTCTTTGATTAAGCACAGTAGCCAGAACAGGAAAAGTGACAGAAATGTTCACTGGGGGCTTTACATTTAGCCTGTGTAAGCAGTCAAGCCAACGGCAGCTGATGGAGTATGTGAGCATTCAGTCCATGATGTGAGAGCCGGAAGAATAGGCAAGCATAGCTCTGCACCACAGTGCTGCCCATTTCTTAGAGCAGTTACCCCCAAAGACACTGCATGCTCAGTCCATTAAGCTTTGAGCTCTCTGTCACAGATGGTTTAGCTGAAAAACAGGAGCAGGACAGAAGTGCAGAGGTTTCCTTTGTTAGCAGGAGCAAAGACAGAGTAAGGAAAGTATCACACCAAAGGTAAAAATTCCAAATTAAATACAACTTAGAGAAAGCTCAGCTCACTACCCTAAGTTAATTTTAAGGATTTTCAGGAGGCAATACAACAGAGGCAGATTCACACTGGGGGGGTTCTGAGATCAGTGAGTGGGAGGTTCCTTCATACCAAGACAAATCACAACAGTTCTCTTTCGGGAGAGAGAAGTGGGGGATGCCTGGGGCTCTCTATAGCTCTTGGGATTCCCTTAATACACCCTAGTGCCACGGCAAATGCAGCACTGGACACTCCTTTTGAGCCAAAACAGTCAGTAGTATGCACTGGATACCTAGCTGCCTCTTCTTAAAACAGCCATCATCTTATCTTCACAGCAGTAGTATTTTGCACATGCCAGGGCAATATTCCCTGGCATCAGAGGCAGGGAAGAATAAGAGTCCCCTGCATTTATTTCAAATTTATCCACAGCCATCAATGAATTCTGCCATATTTGAGCAGTACGGAGCAGCTCCTGTAAGCACTACCACTTAGAGGATGTACCTCCTACTTAACCTTAACCTTAGTACCTCACCCAGCAGAGACAGAGAATTTAGTTACTCCAAGAAAACACACTTAATAGCTTCCTTTTTGATAAAGTTTCTGGGAGCCAGGGTCTGCATAAAGCATTAGGTTGATCCATCCTGTCCTGCAGATACACACTGCTACACTCACTCTGGAAGCTGGGGCTGTATCAGCCAGAGCCAGAAATAGTCAGGCAAGTTGCAGAGAGCTAAATGCTCCCTGCCAACAGCCGCTCTCATTTCCTTTAAACCATTGATAGCCAGAGGGTCAGCATGTACATCCTGCACCTTTAAAAATGGTCTTCAATCTAACATTTTTGCTGCCTCTGTGCTGTCAGATAGGATAAATTTTTAAGTCATCCACTGCTGTATGTTACACATAATTGAAAAAATGATTTTGGATAGATATTACAATGCTCCAGTGGCACTTCTTTCACTTGGACCAGCATTATCTGCAACAGCATCCATCCTTCTCAGGATTTGGTGCCGTAGATGTTGTCCTACCCAAACAAATTTCCATAGTGACAGAAAATTTGTCCTGCCTTTATTTTCCCCCTCAAACATTCCTCAGGGAAGTAAAACTTCCCTCCCTGCTAGGCTCTTAAGTCTTACGTATGATTAGTTTATGGATATGCAAAGATATATCAGCTCTTTCTTCCCAGGGAGAACAGTCACCTCATGCTTTCCTGAAATTACCATACAGATTTGCTTGCAGAGAGACTAATATGATTTTCCTTATTTAGAAGCCAACAGCTGTTTAATATTCCACGTTCTGTTCAGCCTGATTTGTGTCAGGCTTGAGGTGTCAAAAGCAGAGAGGCTGGCCATAGACACTGCTGATGGGGGTTAGTCTGGGTCTGGAAAAGCCAGACTAGAGCAAGTTAAAACATTAACAACTAAGAATACTCTAATTTTCAGCTAAGAGCTCCTATGGGAACCAAAACAACACAGGAAGGGCTGCAATCCACAAAGCTTGGCTTCACTGAGCTCTGGCTAGTCTGTCTTCAGGAGAAGCCAGGCAAGGCCAGCTGACTGGAAAACAACCCAGCAAAGGTCACAACACAGCAAAACCATCAAAGAGCCCCTGGCAGCTTGTTCCAGGGGTGGCTGGAATCCAGTGAACTGGCACTTCCTCACCTGTCTAAACCAAGGCTGGAGAGGAGCCTTGGGGTCAAACATCAGCCCCTGAGCACGTGCCAACCTAACAACATAAGCAGAATGAGCTGCATTATCACACAGGAAATGTAACTCCCTTTCCCCAGCCTCAGCATTTGTGAGGCATTTAACACAAAATAAAGTTATTAACCAAGAGGTACAGGAGGTGTTTAACCAAAATCTAATCCCTTGGTTCTCCCTAATATGCAGCTACCAGATCACTTTGCAGAAATAAATAAATAAATAAATAATAAATTAAAAAAATAAAATCTTTGTAGGTCTGTACAGCCAAGAAAAGCATCTAGAATTTGAAAAGAAAGAAGGGAGTGTTTAGGGAACATTTGTTCTCCATTTGTCTCACAAGCTAACTGGCTAACACCACACCTCCCAAGCAGGAAAGCTGCTCCATTGCTTTTCATTTCTCATTTCTTTGTGCTCAGACACCACATTCGCAGAGACATTAGTCAGAAAAATGCCCCTTTGTACCACCATGATCTACCCTGGCCTGACCATTTCAGAACAGTTAATCACCTCCTTCAGAACAAGGCCAGTCCCAGAGTCCTTTCTTTCACCACTGCACATGCTCTACAAACCTGCAGGCAGAATTCCTGGGATGCCACAAGGTAGAGGCTCCTCTGTCTCCCTCTCTCTTAAAGCCCAATAAAAATTATTTACAGCCTCTCCGGGCTATCTGGTTTAATCCTCTCCAGCTCAAGTATGACACTTGCTGGGACACTATTAGGTTTCTTACGGTGCTGTGACTAGCAATCACATCTGCACCTGACTGTCAGGGGACACTCTTGGCTGAGCCAGCCACCCTGGTCTATTGCTGAGAGCTCTGAAATTTCTCAATTGAAACATTTGAAAGTTAATGAACCCTTTTAACACAAAGCTCCCACAGCTCAAGAGTTCTTTTATGAGCCCAGCACACGGTGGATGCACAGGAAAACCTTACTTCAGGCAGGGCTCTCTTTTCAGAACATGCCCAGGCAGAAGGCTGGACTCTCAGGAACAGCAAATGGCAGCCAGTAGCAAAAGGCACAACCTACAGGGTATCTTGGGTGGCTCTGCCATATAGTACTCCAGGCCACAGCAATGCCTATAGCTTTGCTAACAGGCAAAGCTATGGTTTTAATTCACCAGTTAAAAAAATCAAATAAAAAGAAGACATCTCACTGTAAAAGTATTACATCACTCAAATGCCCGTGGGTAGGGAGGCGGGTCCCAACCTCACTGAGAGAAATGCAGTATTTGAAATCGGGGTGGCAATAATTACAAGCCGTCACTGAATAAACACGTGGCTGTTATAAATGTAAAACCACTCTTAACTCTCTAAAAACAGTTATCAATTCACAGCCACTGAACAAATGTGAAACAAATGTAAAATGTGAAAAAAACTCTGGAGTCAGCAATATAGTAATGTCATTGCAGGAAAAAAGACAATCTTTTCAAAGCAACAATTTACTCACGTACATCTTCATTTGAACTTTGGTTCATCTTCCAGGAAACACCTTTCTGTCCTGTGGAACCTGTACCTTAAAGCAATCAGATCTAGAACCAGAGCCCACCCATTCCACTCTCCACAGTCCCACCACCATTTGCAATCTCCAAAATCCATTAGTACCCCAAGACACAGACTCAGACACAGAGAATTGCTGCCGTTTTTACAGGCATTTAACAAGTCCTTCAGCAGAAGGCAAGAACAGGAGACATTACCAAGGAAACGCAGTGCCTCTGCCCCAGAAGCACAATCTCCTTCCAGGTTTCACTCATGCTCCTCCCTCCCGTGATGCACACCTGGCCCCAGTGACACCACCAGACCCAGGGATACCACTGCATTTAACCGGCAGCACAGGAATGGGATTGGACTGGTGCGCCCAACACCCAAAGCATAGGGCAGACTGGGCGGTCACTGCTGTGGCAGAGAAAGGGACTGGCTTTTGTTTTTCAGTTCTGGGTCTTTTTCCCCCCTCTTTTTAATTGTTAAGCCTGCAAATGGGGCTGAGCATGGGGAGGGGGGAAGGGAACAGAATCTGGTGAACAGCTGGGGCCTATCACTTTTCATTGCAGGTCTTGGAGAGATGTGGTTGACAGAGTGATGCACAGAGGCTGTCCCAGTTAATGACTTCACCATTCTCCATCATTATCCCCATCATTAGGAAATTAGGAGGACAGAAGGTATTTACTGTAAACCTGCCACCTCCCAAGGAGAGATAAATAGAAACTGATAAATGGGATCTTCTGGTGCTGTTCGTCTATTAACCTTCTGCTTCCCAGTTTAGGCATATGCATGCTATCCTGCCATTAATATCCAGTAATTGGCATAGCAGTGGGCAACACGCTCCTACCTTGAGCGTCAAACATCTCCTGTGCTGCATGTGAGTGCACAACTACGCGCACCACAGCTCTGCTGCCGGGCCGGGGAAGGGCCCCTGTGCAGCTGCTCACACCTCCGCTCTGAGTCTGAGTGACCAGGCAGACCTGCTGGGTCTGAAGGGAGGCACCCATTTGGTCGCAGGAGAGGGGGCTGTGTGTGCATGACCTCCCCTTTGTGGAAGCAACAAACCAGCAGGTAGGTACACTGGCACCTCCAGCTGAGCTGCTGTGTGTTCTATCAGCCTACCTCTGAATACAGCTCACAGACGCCTCCGGGGATGACAGTCCAGCTCGCTGAACCACGCTCCTCTGAACATGAAGGAATGAAGCATTTTCCTTACCATTGTGAAGTGTTCTGTAAGCTGCTAAACAAAAAAAAGAAAAAAAGCAAGCTTATGAGACCTCAGAATTTATGAGCTTTCCTTCCTGGTCAAAAAGCAGCCAATGCTTCCTCAACCTGTACTGACACTTCTGCAGCTCCCTGGCCACACGAGTGGCCCTTTGCATGTGCTGACTTGCTTCACCCCCACAGGCTGAACCTCTAGAAAGTACCAAGTCCTCAGAGAGACAAACTGAGCCACTTTTTCCTGAGCAACCCAGCCCTGCAAAGCTGAAGCAAGTCCACACTCAGAGAGACCAAGATTCTACATAAGCCAGCTCTCCCGCCCACACAGAAAGCAGGCTCACTTGCAGGTCAGTAACCAATCATTTCTTCCACCTAGATTATGCCTCTGTTTAGGTAAAACCCCACTCCACTGCTACTTTCCCCTATTACGTGACCTTATTAACTGCTTTACTTACCCTACCTCTAGCATTTTCCTTTCAATCAGCATTACAGTTTCCAATTCATGTGGCGTGCAGGTGACTACAACTCAGAGACACCAGCCAAGACTACAGCTGCCATTTCTGATGAGGAACAATCAGAACAACTTCACACAAGTCTTAAGACTATCACATGAGTATGCCAATATTTATCAACACGTAACCTTTTCCAGAAGCTCAGGAAAAGCAGAGGGCCTGTTCTTACATGTACTAACCTGGCAAGCAGTTCATCTGCTCTGTGTTGGATCGGCGGCCCCAATACATTGGAAAGAAGGACTGCAGGTATGAGCTGTGCTTGCTCCTTCCAAACACACCGGTTTACACACATCAACTCTGCGCAGGAGAGTAACGCCAACGCGATTGTGATGGCAAGTTCTAATGGGAACACCAGCATTAATTCCCATCTGTCTAAGCAACTGGCAGTGTCCATCAATTACGGCAAGAGCCAACTAACAGTTGCAGCTGCAAAATAAAAAGAGCAGAATTAACATTTCAAGTTTCTGTCATTCACCTGAATTTTTTACAGTTGTAATTAGCAAGCTGCAGAAGCTGTCAACAATCAACATCAGCCAATCTGTCTGCACCAGGAACCCGACTACATGCCAGAAATTGTCTTCGACAGGTTTTTTTTTTCCCCTTGCTTCCCTCCATTAGAATTTTCCCTTCAACTCCCCCCAACATTCATCTCTTTTACCATCAATCACTAGAATTGAATTTGTCAAAACAGTGAGACACAGAATGACTGACACTTAACCGATAAAGTCATAATTATTTCCTTTCTCCAAACCTCAGTATCAAAACATGCTGCTCTCTCCCCAGGCCTCTGCTTCCCTACCAATACAGGAGCAATTTTGCAGCCCCTTCCCAAAAATGCAACCCTTACCCAACCCCGAACATTTTTTTCTGGGGGATACTGAGAAATTTAAAGAAGCTTTCCAGCTGAAGGCCTGCTCTTTGATGAGCTGGTGCAACTGGTTTCCCAACCTGCAGCAGAAGAGCTTGTTACAACATCCACCTGCTCCATTTACCCACGAATACCCAAACAACCAGTGCTTCGATTTTTGTCTGTTGCATCAAACCACACAAACATGAAACACACAAGCAAAAAAATCAAGACAAAACCAACAAACTCCAAACACTTGCTCTTTTCAGTGCTAGCCAGAAAACAATACTTTTTAAACACCTGGGAGTGTACAAAGAAAGCATCCTAAGAGACTACAGACACCTTGGATCAGATGGTCTGCTTTGAGGGGGAAGTTATGGTGATTGTTGAGGGTTTTTTTACAGGGTTGATTTTTTCCTGTTGTTTTTTTGGGGTTTTGTTTGGTTAGCTTGGGTTTTTCTGGGTTTGGTTGCTTTTTGTCTTTTTACATGAAGTTCTCACATTTTTAAAGCTATCGATCTTCTTCAAAACAAGTTGTGGCACAGACAACATATGTGTCATTAGCAATTAAGGGCTGATTTGTAACCTTTGCATTCACAGTAGATTAAAACACATTAGACATACACAACTAGCCAGGGGCAGCTGTAAATGTTCAGGGATAAACTGCTCTCACAGGTGCGTCGCCTCAGGTACTTTCCTACTACCTGAGCTCAGCTGACCTGGGTGAGCTCATCATCTGCAGCATTGCTGTGCTCGTTTCCAACATAGTGACCCAAAGACACGACTGTGGTAGAGCTGTGGGTAACATTTGAAACAAAATACTGCTTGAACAGGAAGCTGTAACTGTGCACTCCACACACACTCTGTTACCCGACATCTACTTAATGCATTAATCCATCAGCCACCTGAGCAACTACAATAACGGCATAAAGCCACAGCATAAAAGAAATAAAACATAACAAGAGTCTGAACAACTTGTATATCCACCAACAAAAAAATGCATGAAGTGCTCCTTTTCTTCAGGAACCACTAAGTAGGTTTCATACACAGCTCTTATGTAGATACTGGCAAACCCAGTAGAGCTAATGTAGGATTTATGAGTTACTACACATACTTACTATGAGTTACTACCATAGCAGAGTCCTAACAACCAACTAACACTGGAACAGTACACAAAGCAGAAAAGACTTCCCTGGCATTCTTACACAAATAATATAGATAAATTGACAAATAATGAGATAAAAATGCAGTTATTAACACAGAAATATCTGAAGAACATGTTGGAAGGAAAGCTCTTCAGCCAAAACCTCACCAACCTGTGGGCACAACAGGAAAGTACAAAAGACCTGCTACTTCAGAAGGAGTGGCTTAAACCTCTTAGCACAATATTGCACAGAGTTCACCTGCTTTGAAACCACAGGACACAAATCTTTTTCCCAGCCAGATGGCGAGACATGGACCTGCTTCCAGCCTGGCACTGTGAGACACAGCCTAAACCCCTTAGAGGGCCCTCTCTTCCCAAAACTAGCTGGGCACTGCTTCCCAGTATGGCAAATCCCCTTCTTCCTCAAACTCATCTTGGGAGCAGCAGGAAGGATATGGCACCATCATTCAGGAATAAGGAAACTGAGACCAGGCCTCCCAACCCCGCAGCCGAGGCCACTCAGCACCACCCGAAAGTGCCGGAAAGCACTCCCTTCCCCAGCAAGCACAGCTTTCGTACCGACAAAATCCAGCCGGAGCCTCGGGGAACAGCCCGAGGGGATGAGCGGGGCCCGCCGCGCGCCTGAGGGGACCCTCACGCGCCTGAGGGGGGGAAGGAGGACGAGGATTCCCGCCCGCAACTCTGCTCAAAAAACCTTCAGCAGAAGAGCTTGTTACCCCCAGTTACAGCATTCACTTGCTCCATTTACTCAGGAACACCCAAACAACCAGTCCTTCCGTTTCTTTTTTCTGTCGCAAAAAACTACACAAACGTGAAGCAAACCAAAAAACCAAACAAAACCAAAACAAACAAAAAACCGCAAACCAAACAAAAAACCCCAAACAAACAAAAAAACCAAACCAAACAAAAAACCCAAACCAAACAAAAACAAAACAACAAAAAAACCCCCCAACTCAGAACAAAATCAAAAACCTCCAAACATTTGCTCCTTTCAGCATTAGGTAGAAACCAATACTTCCTAAACACCCCAGATTCTACAAGGAAGCATCCTAGGAGACCAGACACTTTGAACCAGATGCACTGCTTTAAAAGGAAACTTATATTCGTTGTTGGGTTTTCTTTTTACAACCTTGGTTTTTTTCTGTTGTTTTTGGTTTTTGTTTGGGGTTTTTTTCCGCGTTTTTTGGCTTGTTTTGTAATAAAACCTTAGCATTTTTAAAGCTAGTGATCTTTCCGAAACCAATTTGTGGCACAGACAACATATGTGTCATTAGCAATTAAGAGCTAATTTTTAACCTCTATATTCATAGTAGACTAGAACACATTACATTTACCGCAACAAGCCAGGGACAGCTGTAACTCTCCAGGGATAAATCGCTCCCTCCCTTCCCCAGCACGTAAAGGTTCCTTACCGACAAAATCCAGACGGAGCCTCGGGGAACAGCCTGAAGGGATGTGCGGGGCTCACGCCTCGCCCCTGAGGGGACCCTCACGCGCCTGAGGGGCAGCGCTCGCGCCTCCCGCCTCGCCCCTGAGGGGACCCTCACGCGCCTAACGGTCGGGTCGGGGCTCGCGCTTCCCGCCTCGCCGCGCGCACCTCGCTTCAAGGGGGGCGCGCGCGGCCGCGTGACCTCCTCGTGACCGCCACGTGACCACCGTCCCGCGCGGAGGCCGGGACGGCGCCCCCTGCTGTCCGGGCGCGTGCCCGCGGCTCGGGACGGCCGGAATGTTGGGATGAAATCCTTAACGTTCTCCTCACCCTGACGTTAGAGACTACACAAACGAACTGCAGTGCACGACAGATTAATTCAGATCAATAAACCAAGGGAAGGCATTACTAAAACTGGCACAAAGGAAGCTGAAGAATGCCCTGAAGCTCTATGGCCTGATTTCACAAATAGAATTAAACAGCAAGGCATTACACATCAAGTAAAATGCACCCAGCAAGAAATTACCACATATTTATCCAATTTTCTTTTAGCTTCACATGATTAATTTTAAAGTTGAAGAAATTCCCAATACCTGCTAATTTTAAAATTTCACTAATAAAAGAGAGCAGGAAAATGGAGAAGGGGCATTTTTGTTTTCAGAAACAGCATTTCAAGAGACTGCAAACATAGCTCCTCACACTGCTCATTAAGGAAAGCCTACAAGGCATTTATCAAGCAAAGCCGACAATGCTGTTCAGCAAGAATTCAAGTTGGGAATGTCAGGATCCGGGACAGGCCTCTGCTCTGGGAGCTGAACCAGTCCATGGCCCTGTGTTGATGGTGCCATGGGACCCTGCCTGTGCCAGGGTGTCCCGATGGGCCCACGGCACCACTGCCCCGCCTGGAGCTCGCAGAGCAGCACGGGGGCTCTGGAGCAGAATGCTCGCAGGAGTCAGTGCGGATCCAAAACCTGTGAGAGGAGCAGATGCCGGGGGTCACGGCGCGCCTGGCCGGGCATGAGCCAAGCTGTCCAAGTGACTGCAGGGCGCCCGAGCCATCCTGTCTCCCTGGCAGCAGCAGGAGCGCCGTGGCTGATGGAAAACAGAGACGGGAGCGTGTTTGCGGAGACCAACAGAGTCAAGGGGAAAGGATGGACAAGGGAGCACCGGGTGCTGTGCAGGAGGTGCATGGGAGGAACGTTATCAGCTCCACCAGTTATTTCCAGTTCTGAACCCCTAATGTGAAAGGGTCAGCTCTGTTTCAGCTTTCCAGTTTAGGGTCTCGAGTTCACTGTTTCTGTCACAGCATCCTGGCTTCTTGGTGCTCCCAACTGCCTTCTCCTTACACAACCCAAGTGACTACCTGCAGACTATCCAGTAGAGAGCAGCACAGGGAATGTCAGCCCCAGGATGGACTGAGTACAAGTGTCCCAGAACATTCCTGACATCTGCTCAAGGAGGATATGCTCTTCCCAGCAAGGACACTAAGCAGAGACAGGGCCTTAATGATGATGATTCAAAGTGCTGGGAAAAGTTCTTTCTCTTTGCTCAGAAACAAGAACCCAAAGTCTCAAAGACTTTAACCCCCCCAGCCCAGGTGTTTCCCTGAGCCTTACCCCATCTCACAGGCTGATCACAAAGGCTGCACTTCCATAGCTGGCATCATATCCTAATTATGTAGTTTAAGTTTCCTTTGGGTCCACTGGGAAATGCAAGGAAGAAACCTTAAATTTTATCAGGAGATTGTTTTTTTACCTTGAAAATTATCCAGGATTTTCCCGAAATGACAAAAGCGAGATCATGAATTCCCTGTATTAAAATCATCAGAATTAGGATCCAACCTTGAGCACAAAGGCCATAGGATTTAGTTTCAGCTGTACATTCCAGACATTCCAATCTCCACTGCCCAATCCTTTCCAAAAAGAAAAAAAAAATAATCAAGATGTCAATCTTATATGGACTATTTTACTTGACCAACAATCTTGTTGTTTAACACCTTGATTAATTAGTTATTCAAAATTTTTTGAAAATTCATTAGAACCTTCAATTCCTGTGATTTGAACAGTCACAAGCTGTACAATCAAAAGGCACAGAAGGGATGGTTCAGTTCACTTCCTTTGGCCAACTGATAATTAGGCTTCCAGCTAGCTTCCATTTTTATTGGAGTAAAGGGAAGGAAGAGGGAGTCCCACTGAACTGAACACCAAAACTGCTGTTTCCTCAGCTAAGAGTAGGTTTTGGTCCTAAAAATTTCTGGGAAACCATAAGGGTTCTTAGATTTGTCCATCCTCAAGAAAAACAGTAGATTTTTTTTTCTCCATCAGTGTAATTAAACTCTCACCAGACAAATGGGACACAAGAGCAATCTATAAGAGAACAATCCTTGAAAGAGGGTCTGACTCATCCTCGTGCTCTCCTGCACAGCAGCTGGGGTCTAATCGGGTTATTGGGAAGTGAGCATATCAACTAGAGACATCATATTTCTGATCAATCATTCAAAACTCGTGTAAATAAGACAACAATAAATAGTTCACATGAAGCATAAACCAGTGCCAAACCATTTTATGAACCAAAGAAATATGGAAACTGAGCAAACATTGCTATATGGTGCTCTTATAGTCCCTGACCTCCTAACAGAGGGGTTGGCCCTGGCTTTCACTGCTGAATATTATTTCTCTTGGGAATGACAGATTATGACACTTCAACAATGGAAAAAATATTTAAGACCCAGGAGGGTGACTATGAGAAGGTTTAAGGCCTTTTCCTCATTTCAAATTCTCAAGTCCAGTGAAGAGAAACAACAGACAAAGCTTCCTTAAACCCTATGAAGTCCAAAAAAATTGTTTTATCCTTTTCTACTCTGACTCATGTGTCCAAACACAGTCTAAGGTGTTCAAGATCCACCACCATAAAGCAATCACGGCTAATTTAAAAAAATCAAGTTGTGTTTAAAATTTTATCCTGACTCTGGAATATCTGGAGAGCCTGCATGTGTGAGCACTATGGGAACATTGTAGACTCCGTGATTCACAGAAACTCGTCAAAAGAGAAGGCAAGGAATGCTGGAGCAGGGGGAGTTTCCCAAGTTGGTCCCCTTACCCATTCCCTTTTTCAAGAGGAAAATACACAACTCCTACCTTCCTTCTGCTCATTTGCAGCCTGTCCTACAAACTACTGGCCAGAAGTTACAGGATGCACTGCAACTTCCGTAGCCTCCTACAAATGGAACAAAACAGGACCAAATCTACTCACTGAAAAACTGAATTTCCACTCTTTGACTTCTTCAACATCACAGAAGGAACCAGAGGAAAAGGCCAAGTTCAGCTATTACCCAATCACCTTGGAAGGTTTTGCAATCCAAAGGGACTGGAAGGAAAGCACTGTTAACGCCAGCCGTGTTTATTGGCACTGACCGTCACCAATGGACAAGGTCCGTCTGTCATCGAGGCCACGGCTACACAGGAACAATCACATCACTTGCTTGACAACATTCCTGAGGGCACCTCGGGCCTAAGGTAATTTAAACACCTCTCCCAAAATATTGGGGAACAGAGCCACGGGAAATGTTGCTTGAAAAATCAACATTATCAGCAAACAGTGCCCTGCAGGTGGGACCGTGGAGCTGAGAGACAAAGCCTTGTCATGTGTCCCTGCAGTGCCCACAGAGCTCAGCTGCACAGGGGTGCCAACACCTGGCCATGACACAGTTGGAGATATTTACCTCCCATCCTTCCCAGTGTTCCTGTTCTTCTCAGGCCAAGGAGACACAGGTACTCAGCCAGTGGCCAGCTCACCGAGTAGAGAATATTCCAGGGAAGTACCTGTGTTCAAACACCTGTGAACTGGTGTCCTGATGGCCAATATTTACAACACCTTGCCCCAAGCTGGCACCCAGATGCATTGTTCTGGCACACCACCTTTGCAGAGAACAGCAAGCGTCCCAAAGATGGGAGTAGTTTTGGTCAAGATGACTGCACTCACTGAAAAAAAAGAAAATCACCATTTTCTTCACTTTTCCTTTCCAGTTCCACTGATTATTACTATCAAAGAAAGAAAGAGGGTGAAAGAAAACCCCAAACCAAAATAATTTCAACACCAAGACCCAGCTCGAAGCTACTGAGATACCCAACATGACTTGCACTCTGCATCATTCCAAGAATCCAGGCCTACAGCCCCAGCAGAGTGTCAGGGAGTTCTCTAACACCCTTCTTTGCCCAAAGGATCAGCAGACCAGGTAACTGCGGTGTTTCCTTCACCATGGAATTAACATCCAACCCAAGTGCCCTGGACAATGTTCATTCCAGGACAACTCACTGAGAATATTTTCCTTAATTACATACACTTCATTCCACACAGAACAGCAGATCTCTCAATGCTGGAGAAATTATATTACTTCTTTTCAGTGAGATAGTCATGCTTTTCCAAAAATGTAAATTAATTCCTGCAGGGAAGAAGAGAGAGGTCTGGCCAAAAGAGCTCTACTTGGCATGATCAGCTCCCCTTGCTGTCTCACAGTCATTCCTGCACAAAATCTGATGTGGCAGCTTGTTTGAAACTTGTTTATTGGGAAGAGGTCATAAGCTGAGCACTGTTCAGAAGAGGTCAGGCATCTGATTAAAGGGTGAATAAACTGAAATGCTTCACATGCATCTCTGAGACAGAAGCTTGATGAGGAGAGAGAGCTTGTCTTAGAAAAATGTTGCCAAGTACCTCACACCAAAGGCAGCAGCAGACTGCAGGACTGGTTAGAGCAGGGGAAGATTAAATAATTCTGCTGTCGGCATTAACAAATAGTCAGTATTGTTCTGCTGTACTTCAGGACAGGCTCGTGCTGGAAGAAAGCCCCTCTCTGAGAGGGAGATAACAGGAAATCATGCCAGCCCTGAAGAACTGATAGTCAAAACAGACGGGAGAAAAAAGAACATCTTGAAACTATCTGCAAAACAAAGGAGAAACAAACAAAAAAAAATAATTTGCTTATCCCAGGTCTTGTGCCACCGCAGTGGGAAAGGAGAGAGCTGAATTCCCATGTCCGGAGCCCCAGCTCACTGACTGTTCTCCCAAGGTTTTCCTTCCGTCTGTTGTGCTTTTTGCAGTGTGCGGGGAAAAT